GTGGTAATAGCGGTAGTAAAAGAATATACAATAGTTCTAATAATAATTATAGCAACTTAACTACTTCTGAAGTATGTAAATTACTAAAGGACCATTTAAAAAGACAAGAAAAAATAATCGAGTCTTTAAGAGGAAAAAAAGATGTAAAAGATGATGATGATAACGATGACGACGATGACGACGATAGTGATAATGATAATGATGGTGGTGATGATGTTGACGATAATAATGATAATGATAGTGATGTGAATATGGATAATGGTAGTGAGATTAAAGCTTTGAAAATCAAATTAATTACACTTGAAGAAAAAAATCACGAGCTAGAGGAAAGAAATCGCGAGCTAGAGGAAAAAAAACGCGAATTAGAGGAAGAATTGGAAAATAAAGAAGAACTGGGTGAAAGACATAAAGAATTGGAAGAAAAAGTTAAAGAAATGGAAAAAGAGAATCAAGAAATGGAAGAAAAAGTTAAAGAAATGGAAAATGAGAATCAAGAAATGGAAGAAAAAAATAGGCTTTTAGAAAAAAGAAATCATGAGTTGGAGAATAAAATTAATGATTTAGAAGAAAAAAATAAAACTGAACAAAATGAATTAACAAATGATCTAAATTCTTTGGTAACAATTAATGAACAAATAGAGGAAGAATTACTCGAAGAAAAAGATCGTAACGAAGAGTTGATGGAGGAAATCGCAAAATTAAAAGAATTATTACAAAAAGCCTAAGAAATTATATAGGGGAATTTTATTATTATTACCATGTGAACTTGATAAGTTTGACGCAGCAATCAATTGTTGATAATATAAATAAATGACCGACTTTTCGAGTTTACGTGTATTATTATTATTTTTTTTTGTAATCATTAGAATTTTTTTTTTACATTAGAGTTTTTTTTGTAATTATTATTATTAAAGTTCTTTGCCCTTATTAATATGTATTTGATTTTATTCGTTTTCGTTGAAACAAAAGTGGTAATGATCGTCAGAAGAAGGGCTTCATATTGTATTTTTAATATTAATAATTGTACAAATAAAATAGTAAAAAATAAATTTAATTAATTTTAATTTTAATTAAAAGTTTGAATTACCAAGAATGTCCGATTTGATGAATTGGGAAGAAATAAAGAGTGTAATTGGTAAGTAAAAAACTTGATTTGCTTTTTAATTCAATCAAAAATGTTGTTAAATAGGCAATATTAATATTATTATTGATTACTCTTTATAGAATCCGGGTTAGTAATAAATTTAAAAATGTTTATTTATTGTTAAAAAAACACATTTATTCTAAATAAATAAAAAATTTATAGGAATTTACAATTACTTACCCGTACAAATAAGGATTTAAAGATTTACAGAGAATTTCGTGCAAAAATTGAAAAAGAATATGGATTAATTGACAATTATTTGATTAAACAAGTTTTAAAATGGAATTGTTTTGATATTAATAACAATAATATGTCGTCGTCATCACCATCAGAAGAAGAATATTTCACAGCGACAACATCATATGAAAATTATAGTTTAAAATTGAATGATTTTCCTTATGCAATAGATCCATCAATAACGCATTATATTTTATGGTCAAAATTACCGTTTAATCCAAATGATAATGATAACCGTGAGGTTGAATTATTTATAAAAGAAAAATTTGGTGATAATAAAGAATGGTTATGGTTTATCAATCCTATAAGACTTCAAAGTATAAGATCAATTCATCATGGACATATATTTATAAGAGAAAAACAAATTATAAATATATATTCTAGAGATAAATAAATAATTTATTATTTATTATTATTATAATTTATTTCAT